TTAAGTTTCCATTTTTGAATATTTTCTAAAAATACCTGCCTTTTATTCTTAAAAAAAACCCAAAAAATATTCCAAAAAAAAGAAAAGACTCTATTATTGGTGTGTGCTGTCATTTGCCCTGTCTCCTGCCTGTGTTAGCTCTACATCAGGGCCAGTTTTTGGTTAATTTTCCATTTCTGAATATTTTCTAAAAATACCTGCCTTTTATTCTTAAAAAAATACAAAAAATATTCTAAAAAAAGAAAAGACTCTTCTGTTGGTGTGTGCTCTCGTTTGTCCTGTCTCGTGGCTGTGTTTGGTCCACATCAGGGACGGTTTTTGGTTAATTTTCCATTTCTGAATATTTTCTAAAAATACCTTTCTTTTATTCTAAAAAAAAACAAAACAAAAATATTCCAAAAAAAAAAGACTCTTCTGTTGGTGTGTGCTCTCATTTGTCCTGTCTCGTGGCTGTGTTTGGTCCACATCAGGGCCAGTTTTTGGTTAATTTTCCATTTTTGAATATTTTCTAAAAATACCTGCCTTTTATTCTTAAAAAATACAAAAAATATTCTAAAAAAGAAAAGACTCTTCTGTTGGTGTGTGCTCTCGTTTGTCCTGTCTCGTGGCTGTGTTTGGTCCACATCAGGGCCAGTTTTGGGTTAATTTTCCATTTTTGAATATTTTCTAAAAATACCTGTCTTTTATTCTTAAAAAATACAAAAAATATTCGTTTTAACGAATCGATTCGTTATTATTTCAATATCGAATCGAATCGTATTTAATAACGACGTTTCGGAAGCCGCTTTTGCGCATGCGCGATCGCGTCCGCCATCTTAACGAATCGATTCGTTATTTCCTTAACGAATCGACCCCGCGCCATTAACGAAGCTTCGGAAGTGTTTTTGCGCATGCGCGGGGGTCCGCCATCTTTACAAAATGTTTTGTAAATATTTACGAAATTTCGTAAATATCAAAACTTTTTTTTGGAAAGTTTTGTAATTATTTTAAATATCGAAACAAAAAAACACCTCAATTACAAATCGATTTTAGAAACAAATTTTTTCTTGATCAAACAGGCCTAGTGAAAACCATATGGGTACTTTTTAACACAATGTGGTGGTCCTGTGGAATTGCAAACACCTTATGGAGAAATATACACGAAAAGATACAGAAAATGTTGAATTTAAGATTTCCAATGAAACCAGAATCCCCATCTGGGAATGACAGATATAAACTTGGACTAGAATCAAGATATCCTATTTAACCACGGCAGCAAGAATAACCTATGCAAGAAAATGGAAGACCAAGGAAATCCCAACAATAGAGGATTGGCTACTGAAAATTGCAGACATTATGAGTATGGACACCAATTGAAGAACCACCTGTCATTGTAATGATCTCAGTACAGCAAGGCACTGAAACACATCTTCTTGTCTAAAAGCTAATTTATTAAACACACAAAAAGAATATTTATACTAAAAGCTAAGCAGAACAAAAGCTTGCTTCTATCTCTCAGGTGGCTACATGATTCATCAACACATTGTTATCTATACTTAGGCACCTCCTTACATTACACAGTGATGTGATGACGTATGATGTAAGAGGCAGCATACATAGCTCTCCACACTAAGATTTACGACTCTCCAGGAATGCTGCTCCTCTTCATGATACAGTTAACCCTTACCACACAGGAATTACACTCTAGCACATTGCATTACATTTCTAAGCACACAAACACTAACTTTGAAAACTACAATACAGTTGATCAAAACACACAAATATTCTGACACCACCAAGGATATCCAGAAAAAAATAACTCACAGGACTTTATTTAAATATTATTTGAAACAAAAAAAAATGAAAATGATGATTTAAATATAACTTCTCCTTACTGAGAGAGGGGATGGAACATTTTAATAAAGACTGAACATCAATAATGTTACACCACCTTGATGGAAGAGATTGGAAGTCAACCACTCCCTTTTTATTTTTTCTATCTCTCCCGTTCTTTTTCCAATTTTTTTTAGTTTTTTTAGATTTTTCTTTTTTATATACTTTCATTTCCCCTATACCTTTACATGTTGGGCTAAGTGGAGCTCAATTTACTCAATTTAGTCTCTTTTTTATTCTATATTCTCTCTTCTCTCTCTCTCTCTCTCTCCCCCCCCCTCTCTAGAAAGAGACAAAGCAGGGAAAAA